TTCCCAAATGGGAAAGTTTTTTGGTACCAGCTTAGCTTTAGTAGCAGCATTAGCCAGTTTACAAGGAAAAGTTTCTAACTGTGCTAGAAACATATGCAATTATGGCTCAAACATATGCCTACAAGACTCTGAGAGGTAAATAAGATTTAGTTTCTAATAAGGACAAGGATTGGAGAAGGCTGACTTTCACCTCTGCCCACCTTGACATGTTAACCAGAGTTGTGACTCTGGCAGAAGGAGCAGGCTCAATGTTAGGGTATGCTCAGAGATATTCATGGAGATCTCTAAGGTTATCTTTGCCATAGTATACAAATTTACAGAGGTTGCAGATGAAATTCTGAACAAGAGACTACAGAGGGACCTAGCAATTGTTAAGTAGATTTCTTCAAAGCATATCTGAGTAAATAAAACTTTTCTCATTACGTTATTTTAGCTCCAAGTGTTAGAGATTGTTATATCTTTTTAATTTTCTCCCTCCTTCCCTCCCTCCCTTCCTTTTCTTTCTTTCAAAACAGGATCTCACTTTGTAGTCCAAGCTATCCTGGAACTCACATTGTAACCCAGGCTGGCCTCAAACTCTTGGCATCCTTCTTGCTTCAGCCTCCCAACTGCTGGGCTTATAGATCTGAGCCAAGAAGCCCCCCCCCACACACTTTTGGAGACATGGTTTTGCTGTGTAGTCCTGACTGGCCTTGAACTTGCATTGAACTGCATTGAACCTTCTGACTCTGCCTTCTACAGGCATGCACCACTACACTCAACAAATATTTGCAAATCTAGAACTTCACACTTAGGAGGCATATGCTTTTCCACTGACCTACAGTGCCACCTGGGATTCCAGTTTTTGGTTTGTCTGTTTGCTTGTTTTCTTTCTTTCTTTTTTTTTTTTTTTGACAGTATCTCCCTGTAGCCACAGCTGGCCTAGAACTTGGTGTGTAGACCAGGATGGTCTGGATCTCACAGAGATCTGTCTGCCTCTGTCTCCTGAGTGCTGGGATTAAAGGCATGCACCACCAGGTTTACAGAAGTTTCCCCAATGCTGGGATTAAAGGTGTGTACCACCACTGCACAGCTAGGATTCTGCTTTTAATTGGCAAGTCTGTGGTTGTCACTGTGAACTGAAGTTCCCAGAAAAAAAAGCCACACCTGTGTTAAGCATTATACAAGCCTGGGATCTGGAGAGATGGCTCAGTGGTTAATATCTGTGGCTGCTCTTGCAGAGGAAATGGAAACCTTCAATTCCAGTTCCAGAGGATCTGATACCTTCTTCTGGCCTCTGCAGGCATTGCATGACATTGGTGTACTCATACATTTAGGCAAGATACTCAAACACATAAAATAAAAATTAAATTTAAAAAATAAAAAATTCTATGTGTGACTGACCCTTCTATGGAGAGCTGGTATACTGCAAGTCCACAGCCACATTATCTTGGGTCATCTTTAGCTTGCTAAATAGCTATTTATTTCCATTTACTTATTTACTTATTTATTTTGTGTTTGACCTAACATCCTATTGGGTAAAGTCCTTTTTGGAAGGTACAGTCACTAGTTTCCACCAAACCAAAGGCTAAGCGTGTCATCAGATTACATCTGAAGCCTGTGACAGTGATTTCCCTGCTTTGCTGTGATTCATCTACCTAACATTTGCAGTATATTTCTAAGGAACCGTACTTATGATTTTCTTTATTCTGCTACTATAAAAACTTCATGAAACGGTTACTACATTGGAACATGGTATTTGGGGTAACCTAAGTCTATGCTTGTGGGTCATGGTTATTTGGATCCAGAAACCCCTCTTATTCACTTTGAGATGAGAGATGTTTTTGCATCAACATCAAACCCCCTTTGATTCTATAGTATTACAAAATTATGGATAACTTTGAAAGTGAATTGACTCTTTGTATAAAGGTTAGCTCTCTTACAAAAATATTTTTAATAATCTGTGTCTGGATGTGCCTGTGTGTGGGTATGTGCACATGAGTGTATATGTCCTTGGAGGTCAGAGGTGTTGTGAGCCACCCTAATTGCAAAGTTCAAATCCAGCAGGGGACACACAGAGACCTTGACATTTTTTTTTTTTTTTGAGATAGGTCTCACTGTACAATCTTACCTGGCCTGGAACTCCCTATGTAGACCAGTCTGGGCTCAAACTCACAGACAGGTCAGTCTCCCTCTGCTTCCTGAGGGACAGTATTAAAGGCATGGGCCACCACACCTGGGGAGACCTTGTCTTGAACAAAAAAACAGAATAAAGATTTAATGAGGTTTCTTTCTTTTTGAGGTAAAGGTCTTCCTGTGTAGCTTAGTGTTTCTTGAAACTTTCTGTATAGCCCAGGTTGCAAGCTAACTTTGAATTTGCCTCTGCCTCCTGAGTACTATGTTATAGGCAAGAACCACTATGCCCACCCTAAATCAATGAGTTTTAGCTTTTTTTTCCTAGTATTTATGAGAAAATGAAGCACTATGAATTTGAAATTGCAAGCCTGTAAGGGGAAAAAAACCCACTTGAGTCTGAAGAGTTTGGGGGGAGTTTCTTTTTTCCACTTATATTCTTTTTTTATTTAATTAAAAATTTTTTTATGTGTATGGGTATTTTGCCTGAATGTATGTAAGTGCACTCATGTTATGTAATGTTCACAGAGGTCAAAAGAGGGCATCAGATCCCCTGGAACTGGAGTTACAGACAGTTATTAGCTGCCATGTGGGTGCTGGGATTTCAACCTAGATTCTCTGCAAGAGCAGACAATACTCTTAACAGCTGAACCATTTCTCCAGCCTCTCCTCCCCCTTTTAAAATGTGTGTGTGTTTGTGCATGTGCATGTCTGTTCTCTCCTACCATGTGGGTTCCAGGAACAGAATTCAGGTCTTGATGCTTGCATGGCAAGAACCTTTACCTGTTGATCCATCTCATGGGCCCAGTGAGTTTCTTCTTGGAAATTAATAGAAGGTAGGAAAGAAAGAAAAGAGAAATAGCCAGATTGGGAACAGTGATAGACTATAATAGGGGAGGAAGACAGTAATTTCTCACTGGTGGGTCTGATATGCTCATCCAGTTCAAAGGCCTGAGATGCATGGAGTATGTAAAGCCTGAATGGATTGCTCAAAACTAAGTCAGCAGCTTCACACAAAGTGAGGAAGTGCTTGAACCACTGGATCTAAAAGGAAGCTAAATATCCAGCAGGCCTCTGATTTCCATTGTGTTCTTTTGATTATCCCTAGAACAAGTCTTTATTATTTTTGTACAAAGGAAAAGGGCTACTAAATAATTAGAGGCTGCAGATGGTTTCCTTGGAGATGGTTATTAAGGGGAAGGCAATAGTGGAAGTCTATTCATCCAGTTTTATCACTAGTAACTCCTCCACATAATTCTCAAAATAATAGTAACTCCTCCACACAATTCTCAAAATGACAGCAAAAAGATAATGGTTGGGCTGGTGGTGTTTATAATTGAGTAATTTCTTAGCATGTTTGAGACCTTGGGTTCAGTCCACAGTACAAATGGGGGTGGGGTGGGGCAGTCCTTACAGTTTGAAGAAGAGGGAAGAATAAACAGGTGGAATACAAAGATTTCTGGCAGTGAAACTAATTTGTGTGATACTATAATTTTTGTTGCACATTTATCAAAACTCATAAATTTGTATAACAGAGTGAACTCTAACTACAGACTTCAATATTAATGCATTAGTGCATTGCTAGTCATCATTTCTAACAAATTAGATAGTAATGCAGGATGTTAATAGGTGAGACTGTGTGGTAGAGGTGAGACTGTGAGGCAGAGACTTGTATGGGAGTTCCCTGTATTTTCTGCTCTGCAAGTCTAAAACTGTCCTAAAAATAAAATCTATTCAAACCAACCAAAGCACAAACATCTGTGAAGAAACTTACAGGAGTTTTTTTCTGTAGGCTCATAATATTTAATCAGTGTTATTTCATTTTGGTCGGCTTCTCCCCTCTCCACTCTCCTCCCCTCTCCCCTCTCCCTCCCCTCCCCTCTCCCCTGTCCCCTGTCCTCTCTCCCCTTTTCCCACTCCCCCTCCACAGGGTCTCCCTAGTCTGAGCATTGTTCCTTCGTTTTTAATAAAATATTGTAAAAAGCCTGGCGTGGTGGCGTAGTTTCTAATCCCAGCCCTCGGTAGGCTGTGGATCTCTGTGAGTTCGAAGCCAATCTGACCTACCCAGCGAGTTCCAGGCCAGCTGGAATAACAGGGGTACGCTGAGAGGCTATAAGAAAAAGTAAAGCTCTCTGATCTTTTAGATTCTGAGAAACTATTAAGAGTCAAAGCAATGTAACGCATTTAATTGTCACACAATCTAATCAAATACTGTTACTGACATTTTACAAAAGGTAAAAATCGGGGCTGGAGAGATGGCTCGGCGGTAAAGAGCACGGACTGTTCTTGCAGAGGACCCGGGTTCAATTCCTAGCACCCGCAGTGGGCGGCTACGAACCGTCCTTAACGCCAGTTCAGGGGAATCCGAAGCCCTATTCTGACCTCCGAGGCAGTGCACGACACGGGTGCACTCACATACATGCAGGCACTACATTCATACACATAAAATAAATATAATAAAAATATTTAAAAACAACTTTATTTAAGCAGGGCGTGGTGGCGCACGCCTTTAATCCCAGCACTGGGATCTCTGTGAGTTCAAGGCCAGCCTGGCCTACATAGTGAGTTACAGGACAGCTGGGGCTCCAGGGAGACCCTGTCTCAAAAAGACCAAAAAAAAAAAAAAAAAAAAAAACCAACAAAAACAACTTTATTTAAAAAGCCAGACACATACTAGAGACTAATCAAGATTCTAAGTCGGAAATTCTAAACCGTAAAATAAATCCCAAGAGAACTAGCGCTTTCTAATACAAGGGAGCAGACTGAAAACAAAACGAAAAAGCTAGTGACATTATATGAACTACAACTCCCAAAATGCCAAGCGGCTCCTGACGTTCGCTTTCCTCCCGAGAATCCTAAAACTCCCATGATGCCTCGAGGCGCGAAAAGCGACTTGGGAGCTGTAATTTGCTACTCAGAACCGCTGTGGAGGTGGGTTTTGTAGTGGGTCAGGCGCTCGTGTGTGGAAGCTGAGGGGCGAAGCGGCGCGCTGTGGTTTCTGGGTGAGTCGCCCGCGGGGTACGAGATAGAAGGAGGCGGAACGGCGGCGTGGGTTTGAATTAAATGGACCCGTGCTTTGGTCTCTTTGCAGACGCCGCTACCTCGGCTCCTGTAGCCGTACTCGCCCTCGGCGCCCCGCCGTCATCTCCGCGATGCAGTCCCGGGAGGACGCCCCGCGTACCCGCCGCCTCTCCAGCCCCCGCGGCGGGAGGCGGCCCAAGCGGATCTCCAAGCCCTCGGTGTCGGCGTTCTTCACGGGCCCGGAGGAGTTAAAGGACACGGCGCACTCGGCCGCCCTCCTGGCCCAGCTCAAGTCGTTCTACGATGCTCGGCTGCTGTGCGACGTGACCATCGAGGTGGTGACGCCCGGCAGCGGGCCTGGCACAGGCCGCCTGTTCAACTGCAACCGCAACGTGCTGGCCGCGGCGTGCCCCTACTTCAAGAGCATGTTCACGGGCGGCATGTACGAGAGCCAGCAGGCCAACGTGACGATGCACGACGTGGACGCCGAGTCCTTCGAGGTACTGGTGGACTACTGCTACACTGGCCGCGTGTCGCTGAGCGAGGCCAACGTGCAGCGCCTGTACGCGGCGTCCGACATGCTGCAGCTGGAGTATGTGCGCGAAGCCTGTGCCTCGTTCCTGGCGCGCCGCCTGGACCTGAGCAACTGCACTGCCATCCTCAAGTTCGCCGACGCCTTCGACCATCACCAGCTGCGGTCGCAGGCCCAGGCCTTCATCGCGCACAACTTCAAGCAGCTCAGCAGGATGGGTTCCATTCGCGAGGAGAGCCTGGCCGACCTGACCCTGGCCCAGCTGCTGGCCGTGCTGCGCCTGGACAGCCTGGATGTGGAGAGCGAGAAGACGGTGTGCCACGTGGCACTGCAGTGGCTGGAGGCGGCGCCCAAAGAGCGGGGCCCTAGCGCGGCCGAAGTCCTCAAGTGTGTCCGCTGGGCACACTTTGGGGCCGAAGATCAGGACTATCTGGTGGGGCTGCTGACCAAGCCCATCGTGAAGAAGTACTGCCTGGACGTCATCGACGGGGCCCTTCTGCAGCTGCGGTATAGGGACAGGTTGCACAAGCCTGTGGTGCCAGTGCCAGGCTGCAGCAGCAGCAATAACAACACCGGCAGCAGCCACAGCAGCACCGGCATCCTTGTGCCTACAGAAGAAAATATGCCCCAGAGGCTGGGCGTGTGTGCCAAGAGGATGGTGATGTTCTTTGGACACCCTAGAGATCCCTTTCTCTGCTGTGACCCGTACTCAGGAGATATTTATAAAGTGCCCTCACCAGTGACCTGTCTTGCTCACACTAGGACTGTCACCACCTTAGCTGTCTGTGTCTCTCCAGACCACGACATCTATCTCGCTGCGCAGCCCAGGAAAGACCTTTGGGTGTATAAACCAGCCCAAAATAGTTGGCACCAACTGGCAGATCGCTTGCTGTGTCGGGAGGGCATGGATGTGGCGTACCTGAATGGCCACATTTACATTCTGGGTGGGCGAGACCCTGTTACTGGAGCTAAATTGAAGGAAGTGGAATGCTACAGTGTTCAGAGGAACCAGTGGGCATTAGTGGCTCCACTGCCCCGTTCCTTTATATCCTTTGACCTGATGGTAGTTCAGAACTACCTCTATGCTCTCAGCAGTAAGCACTTGTTCTGTTATGATCCTAACCATAATTCATGGCTGAAATGCGTTTCTCTGAAGCGCAGTGATTTTCGGGAAGCCTGTGTCTTCAATGATGAGATCTATTGTATCTGTGGCATCCCAGTCATGAAAGTCTACAACCCAGCTAGTGCAGAATGGAGACAAATTAATGATATTCCCTTCGTGTTAGAGACCAACAACTCCCGGCTTATCAAACATGGCCAGAAATTGTTGCTTATCACCTCACATACGCCACAGTGGAAAAAGAACAGAGTGACTGTGTATGAATATGATGGTGGAGAAGACCAGTGGATTAAAATAGGTACCACATTAGGCCTCTTGCAGTTTGACTCTAATTTTTTTTGTCTCTCAGCTCGTGTTTATCCTTCCTGCCTTGAACCTGGCCAGAGTTTTCTTACTGAAGAAGAAGATACACCTAGTGAATCTAGTACAGAATGGGATTTAGGCAGATTCAGTGAAATGGAGTCTGAGTCAGAAAGTTCAAGTTCAGTTTCTGATGAAGATTTTTGGGTGCGGGTAGCGCATGAATGAAATGCCCAGGGTCAGTAAGGTTTCTTACTACTTTCTCCATAAGGTGTTTTATGGCCATGTAAAGTACTGTAGAGAGGTACCCTTATCTCTTTGTGAGGAGATACAGGCTTTAACTGCAGGTTTCACTTAGAAAAGTTAATGTTTAAAATACTGTAATTTAAACCAGTCATGGCACCCCACACCTTTAATCCCAGAACAGGCAGAGGCAGGTGGATCTCCAGCCTCATCTACATATCGAGTTACAGGCCAGCTGGGGCTGCAGGGAGACCCAGTCTTAAAAAGACACACAACCCCCCCCCAAAAAAAAAACACTTAGGTAATTAGACGTTACAAAATTTTAGCACTCAAGTTACTTAATAATTTGCTGTGCTGAAAATCCAGTAGTTTGATATTTAGTGTTTGCCATTGGACTAATTCTGTTTAATTTTATGGTAGAAAAAGTGCTTTGATAGGAATTGGTAGATAGTGTTTTGAAAGGTAATATTCTTCAGAACAGTATAGTGGGTTTCCACAGTGTTAACGCAGTGAATTTTTTTTAATACACTGGTTTCTGTCTTAAATATAGTTTGCTAAGTTTTAGTTTGGTTGCTCAACTGAGGAAGAAAGATACACATATAAATACATGTATGTGTATAATATATATATGTACTATATATGTATGTATAAAGTGTATATTTGGGTGACCATATGGTGATTTCATATGTTTGTAATGTAAAGAATGGCTGTAATCTCACAGAAAGTAAAAACAGCAACAACAAAAGAGAATTTTGCTTGTAAATTAACTTTGGAATACAAAATGTACATTTACAAAAAGTAAACAGTTTTCATCTAAAAAGGATATTCAAATAGTGTTAACAATTACCTATAATATTTTCTAAAAAGTAAGTTGCTAACTTATTTTGTACGTTTGTATTTTTTTTTTAATCTCAACCTGATAATATTCTTCTGAGTCAGAAGACCAATCTTTTTTCACTGGACATATTTGTATAAGTTTTTATTCATTGTCTTCCTCATAAAAAATTACATGAATCCTAAAATATTTTGTCTGTGTAGTTTTGGTGTTCATCTTGGAGGATTCTACATTAAGAACATTTCTGGGTTTTTGTCATTGGTATTTTTCTTTTTCTTTATTTTTCTGAGGTGGGAGAACTTACTATGTTGTCCAGGCTAGTCTGGAATTCTTGGGCTCAAGTGATTCCCATGCCTCAGCCTTCCAAATATATAGTACTAAAGGTGTGTGTTACTACCCGCAGGAAAGAAGTGATATTTACTGTTTTGTTGAGTAATGCTGGTTTTGAATATCTATATAGGATAAAACCAGCATTTTACTGAGATTAACAGTCTCTCAACTGTAAAATCCAGTGACTTTAAAATTTAAATCAAGAACTTTAAAATTTAAGCTCTGAGGCAGGTGTGGTGGTGCACGCCTTTAATCCCAGCACTTGAGAGGCATAGGCAGGCGTATTTCTGTGGGTTTGAGGCCAGCCTGGTCCACATAGCGTGTTCCAGGTCAGCTGGGGCTACAGGGAGACCCTGTCTCAAAAAAGACCAAAAAAAAAAATTTTTTTAAGCTGTGAATAGAACTGTTTTGTGTATCAGTAAAATTTTATTGGATTTTTGTTTTTGTGTTTTGCAGATAAGGTAACTCAAGCTGCCCTTAAAATGAGATCCTTTTGTCTCAGCCTCCCAGAGTGCTGGAATATAGCCATGTGCTACTATGCCTAGCCCTTCCAACTTTTTTTTCTTTAAGGCACTAAATGTTCTTGATTATAAGCTTGGAAGTATTTAAAAGTTGACGGGTAAAGAGCATAATGGGATAGTGGTATTTAAGGCCAATAGTGGAAATGTTTTTCTAAAATACTTCTATTTTATTATAGTGTTTGTGTATCTTCTCCGGTTCTTTTGAATTGTATTCTGTTTCTCTAGTCTTTGTTTTTGTTCTAATGTAAGGAGAAGTCTATAAATAGACTAAATACACGAAAATATAAGTGTTTATTTCTTGACAAGTTTAATCACAATTGTTGTCATGATACATGCACATGACATATGATCAGATGTTCATAGTCTATTTTTCTTAAAATGTTTTTGTGTATGTTCATGTTGGAGGGAGTACATGAGTGTGCACATGTGTGTGGAGGCCAGAGGTCAGTCTTGAGTGTTGTTCCTCGGGTGCCATCCATCTGGTTTTGTGAGACAGGGTCTGTTACTGGCCAGCAAACCCCAGAAGTGTACCTGTCTCCACTTCCTAGGGATAGCTTTTCTAGTGTGTGCTAAATGCCTAGCTTTTTCACATGGGTTCTGGGGATCAAACTCAGGTCCTCATGCTTGTAAGGCAAGTGCTTTACCAACTAAGCTATCTCCTCAGCGCTATACTCAGACTTATTTACCCAGTTAGTATTATCTTCCATAAGTTTCCAGCTTCTATGTTTATTCTCTAGTAACAGAACACTATCATTTTTTTATACCCTGGCAGGGGACAGAGGAATGTGTTATGAGATGAGGTACTAAATGTTTTAATGAAGCAATCATAAGACGAAAATGGAAAGAGACACAAAAGTATTAAAAGCATGGTGCTCCCTTAGGGCATCAAAAATTTTACAGAACATTTATGTTTAACATTTTCGGTGAAATAAAATGCTCATTCCAGCATTATGTTTTCTCAAAAGGGCAGATGTGCCTTAGTTGGCCTGTGGCTTTCTAAGTTTTATTTAATTCAATATGTTGTAAACACTGGTCTTAGCACACAAAACAGTTTCTCAGTGGTGTCAATGGTGTTATTTTATGGCCAATTTTTTTTTTTTTTTTTTTTTTGCCATTGTTAAAGTTTGTATGTTACTGTGAGTCAGACAGGGCTTCAGAAATGCTAGATAGTGTTTAATCACTGAGTTACATCCCTAACCCTGCTTTTTTGTTTAATAAGATTGAAAAGGGAAATGTTTTTATCTTAACCAGATTGTTCATCTGAACAGTTAAGATCTTTATTGTATAACAAAGAAATTTCACTCTGTCATCCTCAAACTGAGTTGAAGCCTAGGCTAAACATTAGTAATGTTTTGGACAGGGAAGTTTTCTTGGGAAGGATTTTGGTTTTGTGATATTTTTGTGAATTAAGGAATAAATGTTAACCATTATTTTGTAGGTAAATGACTTGTAACTTGTTTATTACAAATAAAACAAAGACCCAAATTTGATGACTTACTAAATTCAGTAGTTCTGCTTAACATTAAAAACTCTTGATTGTGGGCTGGAGAGATGGATGGCTCAGCAGTTAAGAGTACTGACTGGTCTTGCAGAGGACCTGGGTTCCATTCCCAGCACCCACAGTGGGTGGCTATGAACTGTCCTTAACTCCAGTTCCAGGGGAATCCGATGCCCTCCTCTGACCTCTGCAGGATTGCACTACATAGGTGCACTCACATACGTGCAGACAATACACTCATACACAAAGATTCAGGTTTTTTTTAAAACTTGATTGTATACTGCATAATTACTAGTGTTGAAATCCCTTTTTGATAAGAAAGCTCCTTTCATTTTTTCAGCACATTTTTTTATCACATGCTCAATATAGTATCATTTGCAAGATTAACATTTGTAAGATTTAGAATGATCTTTTTTTTTTAGTCTTTTTGAGACAGAGTTTCCCTGAAGCCCCAGCTGGCTTGAAACTCACAGAGCCTGCCCCTGCCTCCAGAGTGCTGGGATTAAAGGCATGCAGCACCATGCCCGGTTATGTGTATGAGTGTCTTGCTTACATGTATGTAAGTGCACTGTGTGTGCAGTGCCTGCAGAGGCCAGAGAAGGGTATCGGATCCCCTGGAACTGGAGTTCGGGACAGTTAGCTGTCATTTGGGTGCTGGGAACCCAGCCTGGGTCCTCTGCAAGAGCATCCAAGGCTGTTAACTGCTGAGCCATCTTTCCAGCCCCTAGAATGATCTTGATTATATCTATATACCTGTAGTTTGAAGAGCTCAACCCAAATTGCAAGGGCTTTTGGTTTACATTGGTTTTGTTTTTGGAGACAGGATCTTACTGTATTTAACCCTGCCTTTGAATTGCTGGCCAGGGTAGTCCAAGAGATTCCCAAAATTACACAGGCTATTACAAAAGCCCTTGATTGCCTCCCAGAACTTGAAGGTAAGACTATTGCTGAAGACAGAACATACTTCAGACACAGGATTTGGAGCAATGGAGCTGGAACTGACCTGGAAGCCACTTCCCCTGAAGCCTAGCTCTCAGCTTTGGAAAGCACTAAGCTGATAAGGGAGAACAATTGGTGGTCCAACACCAGCTTCAAGACCAAATAACCACATCATTGCCAGCACAGCATAGACATTGGTGCAGTAGTGGTACTTTTATCTTGGAGGCACCCAATGGGAAGGACTCATTCATAGTTTTGCCTCTGGTTCTCCAAGTCTTAAAGTACCTGTATCTTGGTGCTTTCAAAGTGAAACTCAGGATCCATATGGTACCAGATACCCATCATCCTTGGGGGCCGAAGCTGCTTTTGAAATAGTGCTTCTTGGGCCTGGATGGGTGAAGTTTAATATAGGAGTCCTGTCCGAGGACCAGCATTCTACAGACTCTTAATATCTATGCTTTGCCTGTTTGTGACCTTTTGTGTTCCTGGGCCTCTGTTGCATGGGGGAGCTTTATTAATGAGAATTGAGATATTCATTAGTGTCCTTTTTACCCATTGTTCTATGTTCAGTGAGACTTAGGTATAGAGGTTGCCCAGTTAGACTTGGGCAATTCACAGACAACTGTGTGTGACTAGTTGTGGTACTCTGTAATACACTCCATCTTGTGCAAAAGAAGCTTATTTGATGAGTGGTGACCATAAATATAAGGATACATATTTTGCACATAGTAAGAAATTACATTAGCCTAGGGATATGAGTCTTGAGGTTTTCTCTAAGATCTGTGACCTCTCCAGTCATGTATATTTGGTTATGTTTACAGTTACAGTTTTGTTACAGAGGCAAAAGCATTGCATAAGCCCAGGCTTCCTAAAGTGTCCTTTTATTCTAGCCTGGGACTGGGCTAACCAGGGTGCTCATAGTTGGCTCTCCAAGCCTAGCTACACTTAAGGTTGGTGCAGCATCATAAACATGGAGAGTCCCCATACCACAGTATTGTGAGGGCAAGGGTGTGTGTGTGTGTGTGTGTGTGTGTGTGTGTGTGTGTGTGTGTGTGTGAAGAATCCCAGGCTCTGGGAAGACACTTGGTCCTGGGGCTCCTATCAACATAAGGGCTATCTGTCCCACTCCAAAGACACTGGGCTGCTGCTGCTTCTCTGTATGGAAAAGGTAAGAATGCTTCATCTTGTTTTGATCAAATAAAGCTTTCCAGACAAGTATAAACTGATACCACTAATCCAAAGCCACAGTAGTCTTGAAATGTTCTAAGTTCCCAAGTAGAGAGAAAAGAGCTCTGAGAAATGACTGTATAATCATGCCCTTATTTTTAAAAAAAAATGTTTCTATTAAGAAAATAAGAAATATTGGAATTATAACTTAATAACAAAAATGGGAAATTTCCTAGAGCAAAGTAGGCTATTTAGCAACATTTCAGCATTTTCTGTGCTTAAATTCTTTAGGCTCAAATAATTAGCCACAATAGTCTATTCAGAATTTAATTTACTGCCCCATTCTTGTACTGCAGTTATATCACAGTTTATACTATGGTTCAGTTTGGTGTCCCAGTTAGCATTGACTGTCAACCTGACACAGC